GTAACCGCTTCAAAATGTTTTGCATGAATGGAGTCTGTCAGACTGGTTAAAATGGCTCCAGATAGAGTTGAAAGAAAACAAGCTCCTAGACCTCAAGGTACAGTATGTTAAGTATGAGGAGTATATTTTGTAGTTTAGGTAAGCTGGGACTGGAAGTAATTTTGACAGTTCTGTTGAAGTGATTTATTTGATTGCTGGTATGTGTCTTGACTCTTTAGGGAAGAGACTGGAGTTTGGGTGGGACTGTCAGATCTAAAGCCATTAAAACCAAGATGTTTTCAGAATGGCATTTTTTTTTCTTGCTTTTTCTTGCTGTCCTAAGAGCAATGGAGCCCATGTGTCTAACTATTTTGGTCAATATGTCCTTGTGGAACTGTCCATGGTGCTGAAATGTAGCTGACTATAAGCTGGATAGAATATATTTTGAATGAACAAGAGGTTCTATTGTTAAACTTTCTTAGTCCTAATGTCTAGAATGTGTCTTTCTCTACCCTTTAAAGAAAACTTTTGACCTTTATAGAGATGGTTCACTCAAAAAAAGACAATTCTGGGATTATTATTCACCATTTTGTTCCAAACCTATATGATTTTCTGTATAAAGAATGTCAGTGATGTCCAGTGTTGTTTGGACTCCAGCATATTTATCTTCTTTTGTGTTCAGTACAGATTTGGATTGACATAAGGGTGAGTAATGATGACAGATTACATTTTTTTTAGTTAAACTCTGCCTTTAAACTCCAGCTCCAAAAGAATCTCAAATCTAACCCATGCTGCAAAGAAAGAAAGCTCTGTTCTGGTAGCTGCACATGAGAATGAGAGAATGAGAATGAGAATGAGAATGAGAATGAGTTTTTATTGCCAGGTTACTTGAATTTGTTAGATGTGACATTTATGGTGTCTTGGAAGTCAGTTTGAAACCAGTTCCTATAGTAGTTAACTTCATTTACAAAACACCACCTGTTTAGTGATTGACTTACAGCAGTGAGGCAGCAAGATGTATAATAAGCATCATATTTACTGTGCCTTTCAGACTGAATATGCACTCCCCATTATCTGTAATCTCACTTAAGATGGCCGGTTATCCTGTATAGTTCACTTCTCAGGGCGACTAAATGAATTCTAACTGGTCATAACTGGTCAAAATCTCACAGTTCCAGTGTAGGCAATCACTAGGCAAGACTCTTTTGTGAATGAGCCTCTCACACCCTCCATTCACCTAAATTCAGTGCCTGATATCACTCTGAGGATGTTTCAGGATGCCAGAGGGGGAGCTGCACAGTCATTCACGTGAAAGATTGATTTAACACACACGGGCAGCTGCGGCTGCTCATGCCTCGCGCTCTGGCAGAGTGCCTCTCTGACGTCAAAGGCTCCTGCCTGCTCGTGTGGGCACGCGCTGACAGAGCGCGTGCCCAATCACTACGTGCTCAGAGTGAGAAAACAGATGTGCTTGGTGGCCGATGGAAAAGACAACGAGCAAAAACCTGAAGCTATATGAAAAATGCATTTATGAGCATTAAGAGACTTGGGCGTCTCGTTCATCTCCACTTTAGATGTTACGGTCAAGAAATAAGCCATTGCAGTTAATACAATAATAACATGTATTTATTTATTTATTTTATCATTATCTGAGCTGGATTCTTATGATCCTGTGCAACTATCTGTGCTTTTATTCGGTATGTATATTAACCCGTTCTCACTCCCACAGCGTCAAGTAGGCTGCTGAATGAGCTGTGTATGTTAATTACTATCGTAATGATTCTGGTTTGGATTCTGATTCCTTAACGGTTCCATTAACGATATGTTTAGTACTTTTGAAGAATAATTATTAAGAGAGAATATATTATAAGCAGTCAATTGCCACATATGAGATCAATAAATCAGAAATGTAAATGTATTGGTTTAAAATAAACTTCAAATTGTGCAAAAGGTTAAATAGTGGCACTGATTTATAATAAATGCATTCCAATAATTTGACCAAACAATATATTAAATAAAATACTTGGGAAAATTAGCATTTTATTAATGAAATGGCCAAAGTATTAACTGAGGTTCAGTAAGGGAGATAGATTAATTCAGTAACCATTAAAAGTGTTTACTAAAAGGAACCGGCTCATTTGGGAATAAGAGTAGGCCTACACTGGTCGCACTGTATGGTTTGGATTCACTAAAAATAACAGGCTCTGAAGAGTCCTTGGCTGAATCTGAAATATCTACTAGGTGAAAAACAGTATGTGAACAGAGAAGTGTATCCTAATTCACAGTTTAAAACAGGTTAAAAGTCTCCAGATAGCCTATCATTTCACAGGCGAGGATTTATTAATTGCAGTGATGCTGTTAGGTCACATGACAATGACAACATGACAAATATTGTATGTCTGAGTTACATTCATACTACGTGCATTAATACTAGCCTATATAAAACACATTATTTAAAAAATAACATCATCTGCGCAAGATGACAGCGACCAATACCTGGTATACTTTGGAAGAAAATGGAGATTCGGCGACCAAAGCACCGCTTTTTACCCAGGGTTATGAAACTCTGCTCTGGAGCAGGGTTAGCATCGCTTTTGCCAAACGTGTACAAAAGATGCAGTTTTGGAAAGCTCATATTCAGTCAAGGAAAAACCATGCATGTATAAATAGACGTTTCAGCGTTTGAGGGGAAAAATATCAAATGGTGTCTGAAAACACATGAACTAGAGTGAAGAAGAGACTGTTTTGTTCTTACCTTTTTAGTCCAAAAAGTCCATTCAGGAAAAACTTGATAATAGAATGGGCAATGCTACACTGTAAAAAATGAACGTGAATTTAACGGTAAAAGACTGTAAAAATGCTACAGTAAAAACCTGTTAAATGGTTAACGGTAAATTCCCCTACTATATACGGTGAAAAACTGTATTGGACATTACATTTATTGGACATAAATTTTACGGTAGTATACCGTTTTTGGAAGTGAAAAATACTGTATAATTTACAGTGAATAACTGTAAATTGACATTCCCAGAATTCCCTGCGTTACATTTCAAATTTGATGTTGTTTTGTTGAAATAACTATGTTCCTTCTTAGTTTTTTCTTATCAGTTTTGCATATTAGGGTTGTGTGTTACACCTAATGTTGTTAAATTAATGTTTATTGCATTATTTCAGTGTCATGTGTGTTACCATGATGGTGTTTAGCGTTTGTGTGAATGACACTGTGCACCTTCTATATATGTTTTTATTTAAAAGCTGCTTGTGATGGGCTTTGATTCATCATGTGACTTTCTCATCACCATTTGCATTTGGTGGTTATCAGTGTATTACAAAGGTACAAAACAGATTTCAGTACTTCAGTAGGTTGGTATATTAACATTATATCAGTTAATGAAATTACGGTATTTAACTGTAAATTTAAGTTAAAACCTAAAACGTTGCTACCGTATTTTTTACGGTAAAATTTACGTAAATTTTATGGATTTTTTTTTACAGTGTAGAGGCTTTATGTAAACTGGTCACGTGCTCCGTTCGTACATTCAAAGTGGCTACGTTTATATGCAACCAAATAATCCGTTTGTAATCGGACTGACGGCTCAGTCGGACTGAAAAGCCTTCATGTAAACAGCTTGATCCGATTGAGCTCGATCGGAATGAAATTTCGATCGCCTTGAAGGGGGGTGATTTATTCCTTTTCTAATACGATTGAGAGTGCATGTAAACACTCGATCTTTCTCATCACCATTTGCATTTGGTGGTTATCAGTGTATTACAAAGGTACAAAACAGATTTCAGTACTTCAGTAGGTTGGTATATTAACATTATATCAGTTAATGAAATTACAGTATTTAACTGTAAATTTAAGTTAAAACCTAAAACGTTGCTACCGTATTTTTTACGGTAAAATTTACGTAAATTTTATGGATTTTTTTTTACAGTGTAGAGGCTTTATGTAAACTGGTCACGTGCTCCGTTCGTACAATCAAAGTGGCTACGTTTATATGCAACCAAATAATCCGTTTGTAATCGGACTGACGGCTCAGTCGGACTGAAAAGCCTTCATGTAAACAGCTTGATCCGATTGAGCTCGATCGGAATGAAATTTCGATCGCCTTGAAGGGGGGTGATTTATTCCTTTTCTAATACGATTGAGAGTGCATGTTAACACTCGATCGGATTGAACCCGAAACCCGGGGTTTAGGAATGTACAGTGTGAAAAGTCATTTTATGAATACCTAGGATTAATTGTTAACCCCGGGTAAATTATGAGCAGTGTTAAACTGAAGGATGTATTCCATTTACACGGAGTTTAGAATGACCCAGTGTTAACTATTTAAAGCGTTCGCTAATTAAACCGCTGTATGCAGTGTTCGAACTATACGTGGACTTTGGGGGAGCCCACTTGTTTTTTTTTTATAACAAGAATAGCATGTATAGTTATCTTTATTGACGTGAATTAGGTTTAAATCGCCGTCATGCATGAATGAATGATATTTGTGCAATTTTACACATGATAATCCACGATGATCACATTACACAAAACTGAAATTGCACGTCAAAATAACACATTGTCAATATTTTTTGAGACCCCCAAAATTTCACAAATCACGTTTTCAGGGGAGCCCATGTCTTATTAAGCTCCCCCGTAATTCGTACCCTGGCTGTATGTTTTAAATGATTTATCAAACACATGCGAGTCATTTGCTTGAAAATTGGACTCGCACTGGCACCTATGGGATTCACAAAAACAGTCGGTTCATTAGTTTGGCAATCGGACTACATCGGCCGCGTTTTATGTTTTTGTTTCGCACACAAAAAAGAACCGTCAAGTCATTCGCTGATACGTTAGTTGCGTTTGATTGACTAAAAAGAACCAGTTCAGAGGAGCCATTCGTTGAGGAATCGGGCTACACTGATCCAGTTGCATGTGTCTCCCCACTTGCTCTATCTCTCTTTCGCTCTCTCTCTCTCTCGCGCACCAGCTCAGTCCGTATCTCCGTCGGTCTGAGTCCTCAGCGCTGGCAAGGGATAATAGACTGCCTTTCCGCAGCAATACGTGGTCAACTGAACAGTCCGCAACAGAGGTAGGAATGCAGTCAATTCAATCATTTCTGTGTAAAACTGGTAAAGAAACCAAGCTCGTACGTTTTTTTTATTTTTATAAATCAATATCCTCTCCATTGATGAAGTGATTCTTTGGCAAGCCACCTGCATGCTGCTGATCTGTGTGCGCAGGGGTTTGGTGAGATGTGTTGCATCCTTCAGCTGAAGATAACGCGGCTTTATCAGATCTTCTCTGGCACTATCGGAGTTTCAGAAGATGGTTAGGTTTTAAAATCCATCTCAAGCCAGATTCAGGGCATTTATAAAACCCATACGAGGACCATACTAACAAAAACAGATTTTCTATATATACTTTATAGATGGTGTTTTCCAGCAGTTTCTTGAAGATGATTGTTATTTCTATTCATTTAATAACTCTGTATGGGGTTTTTCGCTTTCCTGGCTGTAACAGGCTAGTGCAAAACGAGATGCTCTGTCCTTGTCTACTTTTTGTATATTATTTCATTCGTCTTTTTGTAATAAAAGAGCGAATCATTTAGGGAATCGTCTCTTCTCGGCGTGCATCCACCAGAGCATCTTTTTGTCTTTGGAAATGAAACGTGCTGATGGATATAAACGACAGAGAGGGTGTAATGGGTGAGATACAGGACGGGGAAGAGCGCCATCGTTTGATTTATAGCCTCACAAATACGCAGCGACTGGCGAAGCCTGGGGTCCCCGCTTTGACTCGCTGTCATTTTAACAGCAGAAGCCGATTACACCGGAATACTGATAAAAGTCAGAATAGCTCTCTCTGCAAGGGCTTCAGAACGCTCTTTACCACAACATGGAGAGAAATCAATGTGATTTAGGGAGCTACATGCAACCATACCTGTTTCATTACAGCACACAGTGGCAGCGGGAATATCTGCGAGCTCCGATCATTAAAACCACATGAAATCGAAATTAGACTTTTGTGACTTTTTGTTGACCCGATTGAGCTTGATCGGAATGATCGAGCTCAACCCCCCCCAATCCCCTCTCGAGATTTGAGGGGTAGTTGGATCATCGTATACTACAAAAGTTGACCATTTGTTCTTTAACTTTTTCTATATCAAATTATTTATATTTTGTGATGTCAATAAATTTTATGTTTTTATATTGATATACATTTAAAACGTAGCTTATATGAGCTGTTACAGTAAAATACAATACATTTTTCTATCACAGGTTTAAAAAAAAAATATTAGATTGAGGATTGCTTTTGTTAGGTTGTGAAATAATTGGCTGGAACTGCTTCATTGCTTTTATCAAGATAAATTGCTGATATGCTCCGCCCCCAACTTAGGCTATGTTTCGTAGGAAAACGTTAGCATGGAAAAAAAACAACTGTCATTGGGGTTATAAAGTGAACATGAAATGGCATTTGCAATGAATTTTGCCTCTGTACATGATAAACAGGATAAAAGTACACTGTAAAATGATTGTAATTTTAATGGTTTAAGACCACAGTTAACTGTTTAACAGTAAGTTCCTTTATATAGTGGAAAACTGTAATAGATCTTAAGGACATTTCACGTTATTTAATAAAACACGGTTAAATGTAGTTTTTGGAAGTGAAAAAGAACAAGTCATCTGATAATTTACAGTGAAAAAAACTAAATTGATTTCCTAGAATTCTCTGTGTGACTCTTCACATTTGATTATCTTTTTTTAGTGTTATATTTTATTTTATTTGTATTGAAATAACTCTTTCTTCTTATTTTTTCTTATCAGTTAGTTTTTTATGTTATGTCTTATATTGTATTATTGTTGTGTCATGTGTATGACACTGTGCACCTTCTACAAATTAATATTAATTTTAGTTTGTGTAAAAACTGCTTGTGGTGAAAAGTATTTTAGCAATTTTAGTCATTTTGTTATTAACATTATTGCATTTTTTTAAAACATAAATATAAATTCAATCTGTAAAACCTAAAATGTTTCTACTGTATTTTTTACTGTAAAGTTAACAACCACATTTATTTATTTATTTATTAAGGGGAGGCTTCATTTTAACAATTGGAAATTGATTGAACTGTACACTCTAAAAAAATGCTGGGTTGTTTCAACCCAACTTTGGGTCAAATATGGACTAACCCAACTTTTGGGTTAAAAATTTTATGTAAAAATTTAACCCAACGGTTGGGTTAGTCCATATTTGACCCAAAGTTGGGTTGAAACAACCCAGCATTTTTTAGAGTGTAAAAAGGGGTGCAGTTGAGAAATAGTTCTTAGTGATGTCAATCAAAAGGGAAAGTTGTTCTAGAGGCGAAGCAAGTTATTTTGATAACATTTTTTAAGAAAAAAAAAACATGCATTAAATCTTGTGCAAGAATACAGGGAATGTGGACTAAGAAAGTAAACCGGGCTTGCAGCAGATTTAATGATGGGTTGAATGAGAAGCTGAGTCTTGGGTTAAACCACAGTGGATGAATTTAAAGATGATGAATTGACCCCTCACTACCAAAGCCTATTTGCCCCATATGACAATGCTGAGTATGTGACTCCATTATTTGCAGCCTGGTTTGCAGGCTTTTGATTTATCTGCGGCCTTTTTTAGACACATCCACAGGTGCCAGGAGTGAGTCACGCGGCTGCTTGATTAAAGGCAAACCTTCACGTGAGCCAGTGGGGGGGAAAAAAAAAAAGAAGTAATTTTAGAAACAAAAAATTAAACTTTGAGGCGATCTAAATTAAAGTATACTACAAGAAGTTGACAATTTGTATTTTACATTTTTTTTATTTTAATTTTATTATTTAATTGTGATATTAATTATATCATTTGTTTGTTTGTTTGTTTGTTTGTTTATCATATCAAATAAATAAATAAATATAAAAATGACTAAATTACTAGAATTGCTGAGTATGTGACTTCATTATTTGCAGCCTAGTTTGCATGGTTTTGATTTATCTGTGGCCTTTTTTTAGACACATCCACAGGTGCCATGAGTGAGTCATGCAGTTTCTTGTTTAAAGGTGCAACTTTACGAGAGCCGGTGTGTTTAAATGAAATGGGAACTCGTGCCCACATGTCCACCCCAGCACGTATGTCTGCGGGACTCTTTCTGTACCATTTTACTGAATGCACACAATCCAATATTGCCATCAGGTGCATACTGACAGCTAAAGGCGTATGGTAGGCTGGTCAATGATATATCCATTTCATATCGAGATCAGATAGAGAGTGGCAGATACAAAGCATTAAAGAGCAAGCGAGTCGTAGATGGGGAAGGGTATTGAGATATAGGAAAAGCACGCTCACAATTCGTACTTTGATATTCATGTGTCTGTGACCCAAGCAAGCCCGCTAATAAAGACGGACTCACCCTCTCTAATTCATAATACAATCACTACAGCCTCTTGAATACGAAATTTGAATGAACATCCTGAATATTAATGACTGTGTTTCCGTTAGTCATTTTTGGGGGGTTTTATTAATATCTGTGATATTACAATACTGTGTGTTAAGGGTTTTGTGTGTCATTGTTGCATCCTTGTCTTGTCAAGAACCGTGTTTGTTTAGGGTTCTTGAGCTATTGGCATTGATGTTTACATGAAGAACACCCATGGACACTTTCCATTGCACAAAAGGTTCTTTGTAGTGGAAAACGGTTCTTTAGATTATTAAAGTGTTTTTCACACTAAGAAAACAAATAGTTCACTGAAACTTTCTTTTTAAGAGTGTAGAACGTCAAAGTTCTATTAAGATTTATTAAAGATTTAAAATAAATATTTTCTGTTTGGTAATCAGTTTTTTAGAATGTATATTGAGCCAAAAGCATTCATATTAGAACTTGGCCTGGTTGAAGTTCCTTTAAATCTTTTTATTAAAAATTACTATACAGTTTTACAAATTAAGGTTCTTTAATGGTTTTTCATAGTACCTTAGGACCGGAAAAGACCTGTGGACTCTTGAAAAATAATGGTTTTCTGCAGTACCTCAGGTTCAGTAAAGACCCATCTAGCACAATGTTTCAGTATATAGAGTTCTTTAGTTGATTGAAGTTATTTGAAGCCTAAAGATGTCCTCAATGTTGCACTTATACTTGGAGCTTGAGCTTTTTTAATATTTAGAAGTTCGTATTTGAACTTTAAGGCCTGGTTTCACAGACAGAGCTTAAGGCCCGTTCACACCAAGAACGATAACTATAAAGATAGATAACTATATTAGCGTCCACACCAGTGGACTATATCGTCTGTTTATTCCAAGTGCACGCTCGTCTTCCACTTTAAATTCTCTTAAATTCATCTTGAGACAAAACAAGGGCACTGACATATTTTAAGATCAATCAGTGCAAGATTCTTTCAGTTAAAACAGCTCAGACTTACATTTTAGTCTGGGACTAGGCTTAAGCCTAGTGAAACCGGGAGTAAAAGTTCTAGAGTCTAGGTTCTACCAAGATTCCTTGGAGATTTGACATTGTAATTCTTTTTAGAACAATTGTTGTGGTGGAACAGCAATTCATTATAAACTTGGCTTGTTGGAGTAAATTTTTCTACATTTTTATGTAAGCGCTTAAAGTTTCTAGAATATTATTCAACACCTTACACCATGTAAAAACATATTAGAACTCTAAGGTTCTAAGTTGAATCTAGGTTCCAAGTTCCTTTAGGTGGAGTATTTGGCATATTGTATTAATTTCCTTTCAGAACCGTCATAGTTGAACATTTTCACTAAATGGCTGTATGTTTGTTCTCTGAAAAGTTCTTGGTTACATTGTAGGTTCCTCAGGTTGGTTCTAGGTGCTAACAGAGAAGCACCTTGTTCATTATTAGAATTTTGACACAATTAAGACAAAAAATTTACTAAGCGACTTTATACATACAGCCCCTGGTCTTTTGGAGCATAAGAAGTTTGGCCAGTTAACTGTAATAATAACTGTATTTATTATTCTTTCTTTTTTTCAGTTCACCCAAAAATGTTAAGTTGCTGAAAAGTTACTCACCCTCAGGCATGTAAGATGTAGATGAGTTTGTTTCTTCATGCGAACAGATTTGG